CTTCAACCCGATCCAATTTTCGCTGCTTGCCCTCCCGCATAAACATTTACCGCAACTCAACGGTTTCCTATCTGGCTCGTATTCTCACTGACACAATGAGGATCTGTAACGAACTAATTTTAAACTTGCAAAGATGATCACCTATTCAAGTTTTACCATTGTTGTACATTAATTTTCATTTCATTTTTTATCCCATTGTAACGGTGAACACATATTTTCACTGAAATGTAGGTCCAGTCGCCTGCACAAGTCATTTATAATACAATAAAAAAATGATACATATAATAGATACTAGCTATGAACGCTAATGAATTTTTTCGATCTAGAATACTTTGTCATTGCTAAAAACGCCAAGCAGTAGGTTAAAGAACAAGGACCTTCGACTCCAAAGGTAATACTCACTTGCATCAATCTCAAGTGGCCGGATTTGAACGATTCGTTGCAACATTTGATAAGCCATCAGTTTGATATCTGTGTGATCTTTCAGACCGTCTATTAGAGGTTCGAGGAACTCGGACATAACTAGCCTGTCCAAGCACGTTTCCAACAGAGTCGCCATACATTCGAAAGCACACTACGAGCAGAATGAAGAAAGCAATTGATGAAAGACATGAACAACTTGCACAACTGGTCTGAGATAAAACAAGCAAGAGGACTTTGAGGGTTTATACAATCAAGAGTCAACCCTACGAATGCTAACCACAGCTGTTTTGCTGTAACTCGTTAGTAATGCAAATCCTCTTGCATCTGCAGCGCAGATATACTACTGCGATGTGTTTGTCAATATAACAACGGTTCCAAATAAAAGCCAGTTTATCAACATATAAAAAGCAATCAATTACTCATTCATGCAATGTCCAGATCTTCCTTCTTCTTCTTCGAAAAAAGGGTAAACGGGTAATATGTCGAAGTTAGATGAGCGGTACACGGGGGAAAAGTCTGGGTCTAACATCGGTGGTCGACTTACTGCAATAATTTAGACCTGGGAATAGAGCTAAATCATCATTTGAGCATTGTACGACTCGATAATCAGGTGATTGGTGAA